ACTAGGTTTACCAGATGCTTTTCCGGTAAGGTCCAAATAATGTATAAAGGAAAAAAAGATATAAAATGCGAATGCATTGGGGTGCCCCAAGGTTTATAACTACACCTTAACCTACTGTAGCTCATTTTTTATAGGATAAGGGTGACAAGCGGGCAATCAGTCCATCTGATGGTAGGCGGAACCATCTACATCTATCCTCCTTTGCGAATCAAAATGCAGATGGGTTGTCAGCCGTGAGAACTACCGCTTTTCCAGGGGGTCTATAATATTAAAGTGACAAAGGAGCTAAAAGTCCCCTGATAGTGAGTGATTACTGCAGCCTTATCCATTATTTTGATATCAAGCCCAACCTAAACTGAAACTGCCTTTAATAAAAAAAGACCACAGGAGTGTTTTCGCCCCTGAGGTCACTGTAGAATGTCTCACATCCTGTAATTGTATAATTCCGGTTTGGAGATTAGAAGAGCCGGTATATATCGGGGTTCTCCTATTCTCCAAATCTGTAACTGTACGGAGTGAGATATATTATGTGGTTACTCACTTATTATCGGTATAATTTCCGCCTCAAAAACATAATTACAGACGCTTGTTTTCATGTTTTGAGGTTTCGTTGTGAAAGCCACCGCAATATGCGATGCCGTATTCATTACATGATATGTAATCTGTGGTTTCAAAAACATTATACTATGACATTAGGCTTATGTGAAAGCAAATAAAATTTGATAAACCCTTTGGCTTAAATAATTGTTTGAAATTTTTGATCTAGCTTCAAAATCTATAATATCCTATATACATAGGGCACACTGAAAGTTCTGCGCTCGTGGCCGCTCATAAATGTTTGAATTTCGAATTTTATATTTTAAAACATAAGAAACTCATATATTATTGATTAAATAAATATGTTTTGATGGAAAGGCGCGTGTCCCGTGTGAAGTGTTTTATTTTATCACAAGTTGAAGTTCGTCATCCGTAGCAAAAATAGAATTAAAGCGAAAAGATTTTAAGACGATGATTTTTAATCATTTGAAAAGTTCACTTTCTCTGCAAGATTGCACTGTTAGTTAAGTTAAAGTTACAGCCCATATACGTCCCACTGCTGGGCACAGGCATCATCTCATTTCTGAGAGGGTTTTAGGGCAAGAAAATGTACGCCGCGCTGCCCCAACGCGTTTTGGCGAACTTCACATGTCTTCGAAATATTTTGTTTCTTATTTCTCAGACATGCAGGTTTTCTCACGATTCTTTCCTTCGCCGCAGATTACTACGTGAGTAAATTGCACGTGGTAGATTTTACTGCTCGTCTTCGAAATGCTTTTGGGACGGAATAATTTGAGCACCGTAAAGTGTTGATAAGTACACAGAATTTAATCGTGGTCGTATTTCTCTCCATGATGAAATTCGTGAAAATGGACTCTTAAGTGTGATCACTGAGTAAAATTCAATAAAGGCGACAATGCTCTCTTGAAGACCTACAGACCCTTCGGCAAATTCTACAGAAGACCGAAGAGTACAATCTGCCACTTTGTCTTGCGAATGTGGACTATGAAAAAGCCTTTGATTCCATCAGTATTCGGGCGGTGCTGCAACCCCTTTAGCAGTGGCAAGTTGACTGTCGGTATATCGAAGTGCTGAAGCGCTTGTGCAGTAGGACTACGATGGTTATCTGAGTACAGAACCAGAGTAGTAAACCTATGCAACTGCAGAAACAGAAACAGAAGCTTTCTTATTCGATATAGAATATAAATAATACTTACTGAATGTCACTCTTTTGTTTAATATTATCACTGGTTCAAAAAAAATCGTTGTCCTGGGAAGAACCAGTAAGAAAGCAAGCGGGACATTTTTTTTAAATAACAGCTTACAATCATGTATGTTACACAATTAACAATACAACAAATTAGAAATAGCTTGGTAGCGATCACCTCATTCCCAGGGGTTATTATCATACATAAATTCCTTAATATTATAACAACCCTTTTTATACAAACTTAGTTTAATATAGTTTTTGAACTTTGAGCAGGTCAAATTTTGTATATTTTCTGGGATTTTGTTGTAAAAGCGTATACATCGCCCCAAGAATGAATTACTGACTCGATGAAGTCGAGTAACTGGTACTACTAGCTTGTGTCTGTTCCTAGTATTTACAGAATGAATATCACTTATTTTTGTAAAACTAGTTTTATTTAATATATAAATAAAACAAATTTTAATAAATCATGTTACATTTTAACTTCTATTTAAGCGGGTTGTACAAAACACATCTTTGGAAGAAAGTTACATAAAAATTTGCGTAAAAAAACGTATTGCTGATGTGAAGCACCGACGCTCCGAGAAGTCTGAAAGTAAGTCAACATGTTGAGTATCGTCCCAACGATTATATCAGATCTGACAGACAACAAATCCTCGCAATAGAACACCGATTCCTACCAAGGATGATTCGCGAGGCTATTGAAATTAAAAACATCCTAACTTCAATAGAGAAGATGGCTGGGTGCTACCATCTACTTGGGACCCGTGCCCGAAACGTCAGAAATTAAAAAAGTTAAAATTAAACACGACAAAATCGTTAAGATTACTTTTATCTGCCGACTTCCAAAAAGGAGACGGTACTCAATTCGACTGTATATTTTTTTTATGTGTGTTACCTCATTACTTTTTACTTGGTGAACCGATTTCGATGATTCTTTTTTTATTTGAAAGCTGATACTTCTCGTGTGGTCCCATATGAATTTGATCAAGGTCAGACCAATAGTTATTGAGTTATTCTTAATAACTTATATTGAAGTCGGCTGTACAAAATTTTTAATTTAAAATTATTGCAAATGAAGTTGTATTCGCAGTGAACGTAGGTAATACACTCATGACCAGAAGAAGAGAAATGTTCGCCTTTTGTGGCGGCGAAAGAGAATCCGCCACCTCATATCGTTCCGTGTGTGTCCCAAGAGGCGATAGAGGAATACAAACAGGAGATGGGCAACATCATCTTCCTGACAACAGTTCATAATAATAAAGGCTGCGGATGCCAACCCGCCTGCCAAGCGTGGCAACTATAGCAAATATCCAGCCTATTTGACAATTTATGGAGGAGACCTATGTTCAGTTCAGTTCAGTGGACTCTTCATAGGTTGTAATGATAACGATTATGAGTTCTATTTTTTCGAAACTTTGCTACCGTTAATATTTACGATAGTGTGAAAACTAAAAAGTAACATCTCCGAAAATATGAATGAAATAAAAACAGCATAATTGCCCCATTACAACTAACAGAAGTTGCTACTTACACTAGGCTGCTGCCTACATACACTACTGCACACAGGCCACAGAGCTTTTGGGCAAAAAAAGTGCCAACTGGGGAACTTCTCAGATATGCAGGTTTTCTTTCACCGCCGAGAACGTGGTAAATGGACACTTCAAATTGCAAACATATATGTAAAAATATATAATAATGCTAATGTACAAAGTGATATAGACTTTGTAAACGCTAGGAACAAACACAAGCTAGTGATACCAGTTTCTGGACTCCACAGAATCAGTAATTCATTCTTGGGGCAATGTACACGCTACTCGTATTACAACAAAGTCCCAGAAAATATAAAAGGTCGCTATTACCAAGTTTAAATATCTTATTAAACGAAAAGTGAAATTATAAAAACCAGAAAATATAAAAAAAAGGGTTATTATAATATAAGTGAATATAATATGGGGATGAGGTGGTGGCTTTCAAGAGGTTTCTAAAATAAACTTTGTAAATAGTTTGTACAAACTTAATATTGTATAATCTACTTTAAAAAAAGTCCTGCTGGGTTTCTTGCTGATTTTTCCAAGTCTTTTTGTGAACTATTGGTAAAGTAAAAAATGACTTCCAATAAGAATTATGCATGCGTGATTTACTCATACTCCGTAGATGATATGAGAGTCAAAGGTTATCCATTTAGATTTAGGTTATTGTTAGCTAAGCTACATGGTATTATTTTGTGTTCGTTTTGCAAACAGGCCTTAGTAAATTTGTAAAACGTTTCCCCTGTGTTTATCAACTTGTACATATATAAAATTATTTTTCTGCTAAGCACAATCCTCCATCGTTGTTGTCATCGTTTTGTTTAATAGCCACCTTTATCTGGTAGACAATTACAGTGCTAATTATATTGACTAGACGTCTCGCACCTCTGATCTGTACCCCTGTGAGATCTTTAGTTGGTGATGGTATTACCGTCATTTAGCGGAAGCCCTGAGATCTTTTTGATAGACGCATCTTACTGCACCAA